CTCCTATTGGTTCTAATTCTTCCTTACAACATGACTAATGTGAAAATTTTTAATAGGAAAGTATACGTATAGCCTGTATCAGATTGTGCACTGTCTTGGGGAGGAAGGTGGGGAGGAAGGGGGGAGTAAAATTTAAAACTCAAAAGCCTATGGAAGTGATTGTTGATACTTCAAAATAAATTAATAAAAAAAATGTTATTTTTGCAAGACACTGAAGATACAAAGACAAAAACTGAGATTGTCCCTGCCCTCAAGTAATTTATATTCTGCTAGGGATAAACAACATGTCTATACAAAAACTATACAAAGTGAGTACAAAGTAAGTGGGGGACAATAACAGCGGAAGTAATCAGAAAAGGCTCCTTATCAGAGATAGCACCTGAGTTAAGGCTTTAAAGAATCTAGGGAATCTAAGAGGTGTGCTTGAGGAGAGAGTGCATTTCAGGCATGGGGACGCCCTGTACAAAGACACAGAAGTGGGAGAAGAGTACCAAGAAAAAGCATCACTTCGTCTGGAAGTGAGTCTCTTAGAATGTCAGAGCTTGAAAGGATGTCAGAGATGGTCATATCCAAGCCTCTTATTATAAAGAAGAGAAAACTGAAGCCTTATAAGAGGAAATACAGGAAAAGGTGGTGCCCATGATCCCAAGGGTGTGATGCCAGGTCTGCCATAGAGATAAGTGAATGTTCCATGTGTTGGCTATCTTCTGGCTTGGCCTCATCCCCCACCATCTTACAATGTAATACTAAGTTGTTGCCATATGTGAATTTGGTCCAGTTCCTGGTGACTTAGGGGCCTGTGGCCTGAACTCCCTTTCACTCCCATCCCCAGGTACTAATTTGTACCTCTTGTTCCTCCAATGCCACCAACTCTCCCAGGTTAAACAGCACCTCCCTCTGCTACCCCTCCCTCTATTTTGGCCCCATCCAGTTCAATCCCGTTCCTCCCCCGTTCCTTTCTCCTCTGCTCCCTAGAATCCCTATTTGATTGTTGGCAATCATCCCTGTATCCTAGATTTCTTCTTCTCCGACTTTTCTCATCTTCTTGCACCCACAGAAGCCTGGTTTCTTTCCAAAGATTCTACATTCCTGGCCACCAGTGCTGGTTGCTCCTTGTCTCATGCTCTTAGGGGTGGGCCTGACATTAATACATTGTTAATTCAGGTTAAATTTGGGGATTAATGAGGCACTTGTAAGTCATTGAACAGCTAACAGATGGAGGTTTACTTAGCACTAACATAGCAAGCATGTGCAGCAAGGATAAGGTAGTCCTTAGCCCCACCTCATTTCCATACATGTCTGATCAGCGGGGCAGTGGGCAATGACTTTTATGATATTCAAACATCCAACAAGTTGGAAGGGCTCCAACCCCCCCTCAAAGTCCCCCCCAAAGGGACTTTGTATGCTCTTAGGTCACCAGGAAGCTGCTTCAAGGGAGGCAAGGGCCAGTCGGGTCCTGCCAAACTTTTAGGGAAAGTAAATCCCTACATGGAGGAAGGGGGAACCCTGGTAGATACTGGTGCTTTTACACATGCCATAGATCCAGGCTGGGGGGAGTAATCTGCATATGCTTTGCTACCAGATGTCATTCTTACACTCTCCCTATTCCATCATTACTCAGCATCCCTACATCTGTTAAGGTCCATTCCATCTATCTGTAGCATTCAGTCCACATCCTTGATATGATGCTCAACCAGCTGCCTATTTACTCTACCTCCTTCCTCAAGGAATTCAGCCCCTGGATCACACTCTTTCTTTCTAACCCAACTCATACCCCCTTATCTGGGGACCTCAATAAATACATATTGCTGTCCTCTCAAACATCCTCCCAGCTCATCAGTATCCTCCACTCCCTTGACCTACATCTTTACTCTACATCAGGCACACCTTAAGAGTCATAACTGAGATCTCATCATCATCTACAACTATGCTACCTCTATGGTTTTAACTCAGAAATTCCCCTTAACTCTCCCTCTGCCTTACTCTTCCTAACCTGTTCTGAATTCTCACTGTCACTTCTGGTCCTCCCTCTGGTCCAGTTTTCCTAACCCATTACCCCTCCTTTGGCCTCACTTCATAGTATTGGCCCAATGGTTAACCAGGTTAGCTCTAAATCGTACTCACCTTCCATGGCCTTGTCCTTTTGTTCTATTGACCTTCACGTCCCCAACCCTGGATTCCTCCCACCATCTGACTTTTCTGCTCATGTCCTGGGCTGCTGAATACTAATGGAGGAAGTCTTACCATCCTGCTGACCTTCCTCTTCAAGTTCATGTTTGCTAATCTCAGCTGGGCCTTCACTGGGCAGTCTGACAAAGCTTCTTTTCTTCCTTGATTGGCCATCTCTTCCATTCCCTTCAGAGGATGTTACAGACCTTCTCCTCTCTTTTCTCTTCATGTTTCTTTTCTCTCTACAGATGTCCTTGGCTACTGTATTACCAGGAAAGTAGTAGCCATCAGTCAGAAGCTCCCTCCTTTCCACTCCTGTAGCTCAACCCCCCCTTTTCCTTTATTCTAATCTCTGAGAAAGAAGTCTCAA